AAAAAATTACATAAAAGACATGATGAGACACATCAAGAAATAACTGAAGTGAACACTCACTGTTCTTTCTGTACAGCAGGATTTCAAAGCAGTTAGATTCATAATTGTCGAACGTCTGTCTGACTTTATCGATGGTCTTCTTGTCTGTCAGCTCTCCGTACATAAAACTGTGAAGGGAAATAAGCAATATGAGAAACTGCAACAATCAATCATCAGTCTTTCATACCTCTGTATGATATTTCATATATGTTATTAATGGCACTGTCAATGTGTTATCTCACCATCAAAACTCCATTAATTCTTATGTTTGGTTCAATAGAATAAAGTGATGCAACGGCTAAAGGATAAATTGGGCTCACAGGGATGTGAGTGCAGATTTGTTCTGGGCTGTAATCATTCCATAAAGGGAACATTTATACATTTCTCCTACTTTGTTTTCCAAGATCAAATTCCAGTTCCAGTCTGCACATCCACACACATTTGTACTTTTTAGTGTGGGCACAGATTCAGTCACTATTGTATCCATTATACTGCCACAGTGCAGGTGACCTTCGACCATTTGAAAATGAAATACCAGTTTAGACTTTCACTTGATCTTTCCTTGATACACAAACAAACTCAGTGACCAGATCCTGATCAGTTCATCCTTGAGTTCAGTAAATGCTTTTATGTTTTCTTCCAGCTTTGCCAAAGAACTTAAAATGAGGATTTTATTAAATTTCAACATCTTTTGGTTAGAAATGCAAAGTATAGCCATCCATTTTTTTAAATCCAAATCAGGGATGCAGGAGCCAACAGCAGCTATCATACAACAAGAGACAAGGTACACCCCGGACAGGTCTACCAAAGAAAGGCTAAAGCCCCACATGGACTACAGACTGGATTCAAATCTAGGACCATTACTGTAAGGCACCAGTGCTACCCACCACAGCACCATGATGTGAACACAGAAATTGGACGTTTTCAGAAAACTGGGATTTGACATCTAACCCCACCCTCTAACCTCTAATGGAATGGGCCAAAGTTGAATGTCGCCTTCTAGCAATGATGTCACCAGTGATGTCAGACATATTAGTAAGCAGAGTGGAAAATTCAACCTGGCCTTACTGCGAGCTGAAGACATAGTTCAGTGAAATGATGTGAAAAATCAAGCACAGCATTAGTTTAGGATTAGCTGTTGTCAGTGCCAGCCCACATCCTTCGCTGGCCTTTCTATCCATCCAATAAGTGAATCTGTGAATCAGTGTGGGCAGACTAAAGCTGCTTAATCTGCCCACAGTTCTTAAGTTAATTAATGGCATATCTTTCTTGTTCTGTATGGGGGTCTCCTGCTCTCACGGGCTTTGGCTTTCCACATTTGCATGTTGAATTACTGGGAAATCCAGCAATACACGTGTAGTGGTTTGGTGATCGGCCTATGGGATCAGTCTAAGACACGAGTCCTTTGTAGGTTGGCTGATAAAAATCCAAAAGCAAAACACTGCAATTTGTATAGCATACTGTTTCATCTTCAATTCCCAGCTGAAGAGGTCTACCTTCACTTTTTATGAAATTGTTTTGTTATTTCCTGGACTTACTGCTATTAGGATTTTATGTGAAATGTCAGCACATCTGCACCACTGTTACAGATGCATACCTTTTGTACCACAGTTAAAAGACTGAAAAGAAAAAGAAATGTCTCTGGACCCCATTAACAGACTGCTGTCTTCCATCAGTTTGGCAGCAGCCTGTAAGTTTAAGCTCTCAGTGGCCTCTTCAATCCTCTCAGTGTCACGACTGAGCGCATTGTCAGTCTCAGCGTCCTCTTCAGCCCAGAGCAGCAGGAAGCACAGGGATAAATCCGTGTCTCTGTTCTCACTCAGCTCAATGTCCGAATGGAGTCTTTTTAGCTGCGGGCTAGTCAAGTCCGACCCCACCCCCACCCACCCCACACACACACACACCACCCTCCAGTCACATCTGAGAGCAGCCTGAGGAAAGGGAGTCAAATTTTAAAACATCTTGACTGACAGGCGAGCAGGGCACCGTCCTCGAGGTGGACTGGGAAGAGCTCCCCTGACAGCTCCAGACTGGATTCATTTCAGACACTCACTGAGTGGTGTGCCATCCTCTCTCTACTTCCTCTCTTTCAAAACAAGAGTTTTTCTTTTGGCTAGAGGAGGACAGAATTAGGGAGGTGCAAAACAATTGACACTTTTAAACCTTTTCTTTGTCTGTGTGTATCTTTGCAGGCTAAATATATAACTTTGAAAGTAACAGGGTTTGAGCTGTGAATCATGGCTAGTCTGGTGTGGTTATAAATACAATAGTGTTGAAAAAAATTGGTTTTTTATGAGTCCCACTCTCACTGAAGAATAAACCATTAAAAATGCATAAACCCGGGAGCTAAATAAGACATATGAGTCTACTAGAAATTCAGCAAAGAACTGTATGCAAATGTGAAGATGAAATTTAATGCATGTATAGCTAAACTGGGATTGGATTATTGCTCCATTACCACGCTATAACTAATAATGCTGTGTTACACAACAATATGTGCATATTTGCAGTCTTTAAAATGGACCTATTCTTATTGCCACCTTTTTTCTTCTTGGACTGTAGCTCTGCATGATTCAGAGTTCAAAATAGTTGATCTCATGCTGGACCTTGATGCACCCCTCAATCAACCCAGTGTCTTAAGCTGTGTCTTAGCCAACCTTCTT